AAAACCAGGTAGTAAGTATTAAAACGGTTTATTTCGGTCAAAAAATCACGGCTTTTTTTCCTGCAAAACACAGTATTGGGGGTGAGTGTCTATTACCTAAGCAAATCTACCAAACCCGCTAACGATGAAGTGAGCCTAGTAGTCATTCTGATGGATTCTAGATGACTGCTTAGGGAATCCTGCCTGGGCAGTCAGCTGGCTGTTCCATAATGGTGGATTCTATACGAGCGGTAAGTTGGGCGGGTAAAATCGATCCAAGTGTGATTGCATTCACGGCTGACTGTGAGCCTTGTAGATCAATGGTAGAGCGTTGGCCGCGCAAAAGCCTCCCCTGTTGCGTGGGTTCGACTTCCGCCGAGGCCGTGAATTTTTCACAATTGCACCGAATGAATTAAGGAAATCTCCCAAACCCCCCTAACAAAATAAAATAAAAGCAAAATGACAGACTTCGGAAACTGACCAGGGCTTTGGCGTCTTGGTTACAGCCGTTCTCCAGGAGAAGGGTGGCCGCTCGCAGGCTACCGCAGTGCGCGGCGACGTGGAGCGGTGTCAAATAATCCACCGTGAGACTGCCCGCATCAGCGCCGTGCTGTAGCAGCAATTGGATGCATTCTGGATGATCGCCTTGTGCAGACATGTGGAGCGGCGTCAGCCCATTCTGATGATAAAAGAAACGTTTATTGATACACTGAAAGTATTGTAATTTCTTACTTGTAGATTACAAACATCAAAATACCAACTTGTTTGTGCTTGCACAAATGAGATGGACAACAAAGTCGTACCGACCCCAAGTTTCGGCGAAATATCCCCTACGTCAAAAATGTCCCGGAGGCCGTCGGCCGCCTTCCTGCGCCACTTGGAATTGGAGTCGCACACAGGCGGGAAGCAACCGTCAGCGTCAGCTTATGAAACCGAAAGAGCCACTGCCACGGCAAGAAACATCTAGAGTTGTCTACAGGATTTGCTGCAATTGCGGACAAAGCAACTGCGTCGGAGGAACTGGCAGACTTCACGAGACGCGAATTGCCGAATACGCGGCAGCAGTGCGACGAAATGATGCTAGTTCCCAAGCTGCGGCTCATTCGACGAGATTCGGCCACGCATTCAAATGTTATGGGCCAAACTTTTCGCAAGAGCTGAGAATTACTTGAGTCATGTTTCACGAGCTGCCAGTCCATAAACAAGGGCAACGACTTGCCAAATCCAGATTCTGTGCTGAGGCTCAATTAGGCCAGAGCAGGTCGCTAGGTGGCAAACGTACAGACCACCGCGTCGTCTTATGATAACACCGGAGAAACAGATGGTCAAACAGTAATCACGTCCAATTCAACCACGCGTCAGGCAAGTTCAGCAAGTCAGGACTCGCACGCCGGTCATCAAACAATCAACACACAAGAGGGCAATTACCGTTAATTGTTGTTATGTTTTCACAAGGGCGCAGTAATAACTCTTTCCCTATAAACGCTGCAAATGTCTGTGCATGTGTTACTCTTTTTTGCTACTGCTTTCTAATCATATCTTTGATGAAGAATCCGCGACGGATCTCGAAAAATCAGGCGAATAAACGTGTTGTCCCGGCGATAGAATCTTCTTCTTAACCTGTGGATAGTTTACAAGTTTTCTGCAACTGCCCATAGAAATCAGTATCGTGTGGCTTTGTGATCGAGACACTGCCTCTAGTCAACCGACAAATCAAGGGACCTGTGGACTAGAGGCAGTGTCTCGAACACAATGACCGAAGGTCCCGGGTTCAAA